TCGGCGCAGCGTGAGCACTTCAACATTGTGATAAGGTGCCAGAGGCATATTCATCGTGTGCTATGCCGAAACTCTCATGGCGAAGTGGTTTAATGCAGATTGCTGAATAAATTCGGATGTGAAGATTAGAACAACAAAAGACAGCTGTCAGAGGAGAGGGAGCGGGGTTTCAGATTATGGAAAGGGGCGGTGATTCAAAATAAGACGGGAAAAAAAGTTATGTAAGAAGAGAAGATATCAATAGGCATGAGTAACATGTGCAGGGCTTCAATCAAAATTGAGAGGAATGGATAGATGCCAGGCAATGTTATACACGCCACGACTTGATAGGGAGGATGCCTGTCAACGAACGCTTCTGACAACCAAAGGACAAGGGAAAAGGAGTGATATAGATGGCAGCAATACTACCACGCCAAGGGACCCCCGGCTGGCCGACGGTGTAATGTCTCTGAGCAGAAATCTCAAAGACAGATTAAATTGCTGGAACAAGTAGCCGAGATGAAGTAGCCAACAGCTTGCCGGATGGTTCAGTTAGCAAGACAATGTTGATGCCATGCAAGTCCATTAGACAACAGACTAGCGGCCTCAGTCGACAGCATGAAGGTAAAGGAATAGAGACAAGGGGGGGTGTCGATTGAGTGAACGACGCAAGGTTGGATGAGGAAAAGAGACAACAAGCTGCGTGTGTGAATAAGCCACTAGGAGAAGAACTCGATGCGGAAATATGCGTGGGCAAAAAGGTTTTGTGAGCTGTCTAAGAAAGGACGTCTGCGCAGGCTTGGGTCGGGAACTGACGCTGTGGTAGATTGGTGGCGAAGAACCACTTTGCCGTCGCTTCGGACCGGGCAGGTTGCAAGGTAAACATTCGTGGGGTGCACCAAAGCGGTAGAAATTTACATGATACGAGACACTCAACCAGGCAGCGATACCGGGATGGGTCAAAGAAGGATGAGAGATCTGTAAAGAAAGAAAGAATAATTAGGTGGCATTCCGGGGTTACCATACGCGAGCCGGCCCCTCCTTCATACTGACTGACCTACAGATATGTGACCGACTATCGTTGGCGGTGCCAGAAAGAGCTGAGCGTGGGGGCTTGCGGGGCGCTCCAATAACGACCTCGGTGCGAGTTTCTTTGATCATTAGACAAGATGCGCCTTATCAAAAATAGAGCCTGGGAGTCGCTGTGAAAGCCGCATTGTTCCGCAGCATGAGGGTGTGTGTAGTTCTTTGCGTGATGGCAATAGGCTGTCCACACGGGCCAGAGGCAAGGCAGGTACTTTGGAGCGAGTTGTGTAGGCGGTCGGCGGTCCTCCTTCTATCTGCTAGGCTTAGAGAAGCAGAGAAGAACCAAAGAGGTGGTGGACAGCCAGTTTCCATGATACCCATGTCTGTGCTTGCTCAAGAGTGGCGGTAGAGATGGGGTGTGTGTGCAGCGCAGGCGGCGAGGTCGAGTGTGCAATCCATCCATAGCCAAAGCCCCGCCTTCTAGAAGCAAGTGTGGTGAAGACCCCGACCGAGCTGAAAAATAAACCAATGACTGCTGGATCTCGCAGAACGGGGACGTGTGACGCTGCGATTGCCATGGCGCATCCCCTAGCCGTTCGGCAATACCGACATCGAAATGTAAATTAGAGTGAGAGCTGCAGCAGGGATGCTGCAAGACCGCAGAGGGCTGCTGTTGTTGGTCTACCTTGCCCTCGTCATGCCTTGGTTAGTAGTCATGGCGCTAGTGTCAAATCGCCTGTATCACACTGCCAGAGCGTGCAATGTAGGGAGGGCTTGTCGAATGCAGCCGGCACTGGTGATGTAGACGGTCTAGCGTGTCTTGAAGGACATGCTCGAGGACGCCGGGGCAGGTTCCCGTGCTCCGAAGCGTTGGGCATGCTTCTCTGCAAGGTAAATACCGACTAACAGACGGCCAGTGCTACAGCCCGTGCCGAGGCCTTGACTACATGCTGGCGATGAGACCTACTTAGTAACGTACTAGGGCGCGCCAGGCACCCTTGCCAATGCAGGCAAACTGCCTCGCTTGTGCGGAATGCGGCTGCGACCTGGCGCTACAGGGGACCGTGGTAACTGAACGCTTGGGACGACGCGAGACGGGAGGAGGGCAACCGAGATCTGGGATGAGAGCGGGATCGGACTGCCGAAGGGTCTGAGGACTAAAACAGGCGCAGCGGTGCAGCGGTGCAGTGAGGAACCAGCCACGTTGGGATGCTAGGGATGATCCGAAGATGGTGCTTGCTTGGAGGAAACGCGTTCATGCAGCCCAACGTCCAGGGCTACCCGGCTACCTACCAGTATTACGTGCTTGCCCCAGGCATGCAGGCGCTCGGCCAAACCAGCGTGCAAACAGAGTGTTACAGCGGGACAGAGTGCTCCAGTGCCTTGCAGTGCGCCAACTATGCCACCAGGTACTTAGGTACCTACCTACCTACCACGTGGCCAACGTCTGCAGATGCGCTGTAATAATTAATAAGCCAAGGTGCCCCCCAAGCTGTGGAATCTTGTCCGCCTAAAGCTGCGCCATCGCCAAGCACCTTGCTGAAGCAAACGCACCTGCATTTCAAGTCACACACCTTTCTCCTGTCTGCGACGTACACCTCTCGCAATGGGTACGCATCCACATCCTATTCTCGCCGAATGCCTTTTAGACTCGGCTTGTACTGCTATACCCTCCCAGTGCGCCGAGGCTCTGGCCGGCTTAACGGCCCGTCCCGCGTCAAAGAGGTAGGTATGGTCAATCGGCACACCACGCCCTCACCGTGCTAAGTTAGCACCCAGGCAATATAGCCGAGTACAACCTTTCTACAAAGCCATCAACAAAACTTAGCTTCACAAGAGGCTGTCCACCAACAATATTGAGCACCATTAATATGCTACAAAAGGGCCAAATCGCCATTGACCGGAGCATGGGTCACGATGCTCCGCGGGCCTGTAAGTTCGTCGAATCGGCCAAGGCACGACGAGCTAACGAAAATATGATAAATGACAACCTCGGCGTCTTGGCCATCCTTCTACCTGTTAATAAGTGGTGCCTCTGCTTCGGTTTTGCTATGGGCTAGTGTCGCTGAGGGGCTGGCAAAGCGCTGGCGGAAACGATCGATGGAGACGCAACTGGTTTGCAGGCCTATTCCTGCCAGAACATGTATCTTTTCAACAACTCGTTCTAAGTCTCTTCTACAACCCTCGGTATTTCCTTTATGACAGTGTTTATGTTGATGAAACTGAGTATTTTCTCGAGGCTTTCTATGCCATAGGTCGTTATTTTCTTCTTTTATCAAGAACGAGTATTGGCAGCCTTGCCGAAACTGGTGGCAAGGGTTACAGATACAGCGCTCTGATATACTGGGACAGATGATCGCAGCTTGCCGACGCTGGCGACGATCGAGCGACGATTTTATATGGACCGCTCGCCTTCGGTAACCAGTTTTGGTAATGGTCATACTGACAACCCTCCCGATAACAATACAGAGGAGAACCCTCCTAGGCCGCACAAGCGATAGAAGGTCGCTCATGACAGAGCAAACACGACGCTCCCTCGCCAATTCTGCCAGCACACATGATTAAGTTGTTTATCTGTGCTGGTGTACAAGCACGTCGTGAAAAAGCTGCTGTTCTGCGCAGGAAGGTGAAGGGTAGTATTCTATCTTTAGTGCAGAAAGCGGGCGACCTAACCAGTTAGGTTGTGACTGCTTCGATCACCGCGTCACAGGTAAGCATATTATTTTACATATTAGCTATCTGTCAGCACAGGGCAGGTAAATGCAGTTGTGGCAGAAGTTACTAGAATTTTTATAGCAAGCGATCATCAGCAGCTGTATCCCAATCAAACATTCCCAAGTCCTTCAGTGACAACAACAACGTGTTGTCTGCAGCTTTAACTTACCAAACAGTACCGCTTCCCTCCTCTTGAACAAGCGCCTCGTCCTTGAAATCATTGTCGGTCAGCGGATACGGCCATGGGGGGAACGACCGGCGGCTCATAGTTGGCAATCCCGGACAGCATGAATAGGTTAGTACAGGGGCTATCTTTGCTATCCACCAGATCCTCATATGCAACCCCGGAGATTGGTATGCGAGCCGGTGGCAAGCCCCGCGTAAGTAGCGTTGCCAGGAGGACTGATGTATTGTTTAGGACAAGTCTACCGCTGGATGGCACATTCTCATATAGTCAAGAAGGTCACTGATAGACTCACGCCTAGGACGCTGCCAACTGGTCGCCTTACTGTCTACATTTGAAAGAAATTCGATGCGCACATACCTTTTCATCGTCACGTTACGTAACGGGAAGATGAGAACGCCGTAACCGTATCGTTCCACCGCTTGAAAGAGGGGTTCTGCTGTTTGTTGAAAATAGTCCCATCTTTTTTGTCGTTGTTGCGAGCCCAGCTCAGGGAACATTTCTCTTGCAAACGTTTCGATCACGCCACTTCCGTCTCCATTGTGTACTTCTCTAGTCGCGTTCCGGTATTCGGCCATCAACTGAACCATATAGAAACGTCGCTGGATCACCGTCAAAGTCGGCAAGCTATAATCTTTTATTTCCAGTGTATCACAGCGCTGTAACTGCCACTGCAGCCGCTGAACCCTCGAGAGAGACTTGTCTAGCTTCGCGACGTCAGGGTCTGGCCATCGCAGGGCGTCCACCACTCGCCAGGCATCCTGGAGGCCATTTACTAAAGTGTACTCAGAAATCTCCCTTCGAAGAGGCTCGAAGATATTAGCATCTTTCGTCGTTGAAATCGGGGACCGGCGGTTTCTGTTTCCTGCCAGGACCTCGGACTTTGGGTTTTGCCTTGGCAGAAGCCGCTCGCGTCGATGTCTGCCCTCGCTTGCTGGGCGGTGCCGTTGGCAGCGGGGCCAGTGTGGTAAATAATATAAACAATACAATATTGGCGATATGAGCACCTTCGCAATATTATTGTATTGTCAGAGGGTGCATATTGTATTTCGCAAGACAGCACTGATGCATATTGTATTGTATTGTCACAACCTTGGCATATTGCCAATAAAACAATACATACAATATATTACACGTGACTGCAGCTACTACTACTAACACATCATGCCTTCAAAGTCCCGTATCCCGAACCATGATTTTAAGCACTCTGTTGCTTCAATTACATCACTGCCCATCCGATTTCGACGATCGGTAATGGTTATTCTTGTCCCCGAAAAGAGTCTCTCAGGCTCCGCCGACATGGCAGGAATCGACAGTATATCCACTGCCATTTTACTCAAATTTGGATACGTCTTTTGCTGTGTTTCCTCTAGCCACCATGTAAGAGCGCCTGTGAATTTATAGACCCGCTCAGACTTGCAATAGTGCTCGTACTCGTCTGTCATAGGTGCCGGCTGTAGATGCTTGTTCCTCCATTGTAAGAACTCGTTTGTAGCCATCGGTTCTGGCTCAGATAATGGAAGTGTCTCCACAGGTTTATATTCATCCCAAAGCGCCGCAACCAACGTCTTCGATGGTGCCACCCACTCCCTCTTCCAATTCTCATGTATATAATGCCATTCATACGACGGGTGGAGCACAATAGCTGCAACATAGGCTGGGGATTCGTCCGTAAGGCGATAGTACTTGTCCAGTTTTGCCCAGCCAGAGTTGTACATTGGCGCGGCACTATCAACGCCTTGTGTACCCGGCGGGTACGAAGTGATGATCAGCCAAAAGCAACCGATGGCTTTCGCTGGGCGGGTCTCGTTATGGGCTATCTCAATGCGGCAACGTATCGGCTGAGACATCGCTCTTTGCTTTCACCCCTCGGCGGAATACCGGGGAACACGATCCATGCCCCCCCCCCCCCAAACCAATCGCGCATCTGGGCTGCGCCTTTCCCAATAATACCTACGCCAGCGGCGGCAAGAGGCATGTATTCACGTTCTGTACATATTGGCATTTTGAATAATTGGTGTTGGGCGCTAAATAAGCCACTATTATGCGTACTGTGCTTCTCTAATAAGCCTAAGGGGAACGCCTCGGGCAACTATATGCATGTAGCTGGTCGTTTACTGTCTTAGATATCTTTTCTAAGAGCTGCGCGTGAGTATCTGTATACGCCTGGAAGATGTGTGAGCGGCATTGCGGGTTACTTGAATTTCCATGGCAGTGCTTAGGCAATATATCTGGCAAACTGGCAGTCTGAATTCTGTTGTCCTATTCAGCCACGTATTTATGCAATAAAAGGCTTCAGTTAGGCACGTCTAAGGTTTCTGGTTGAATACTCTTAGCCACTGTGCTATCCGGTTTGAGTGATCATATATCTAGATCTAAGCGCAATTCTCCCTTCGTCATTTCTAGGATGCCCCATGTAATGGTCCTGTCGTCCCGTGTCCTCGGTGGTCTTGACAGGGGCGTCAATCAGCCAGTTGGATTTATGGGCAAAATTCCAGATCCTAGCGTCAGGAAAGTCGTGCGCGAGGAGATCTTTAAGCAGGTGAAGCTTCGGGGACGGTGCGGTTTGACATTCAGCTGCGTTGGGTCCTTGGGTTTTTTGAGCATCCCATGTGTGATACGGATGTGCACCGAGGCCAGGGATGGCGATGATCCTGCATCGTAATCAGTAACGCGTGCAGGTCGAATGAGCAGTTCCAACGGAATCAAACTTGGCATCATCTTTCCCAGAGAGAATTTGCAGTGTCCCAAAGCGATTCTCATCGCGGGGTCGACAGATCTTGCCAATGACGCGATGGAGCGACCTGGCGAGGAGGAGCGTCACTATGGCCAAGCCAGCGCCCCCACCAAGTAGTCATCCATCTCTAACCTGTCGTCATTTTAAGAGTCGAGCTTGGAAAAGACAGACTGTGAAGCTACGAAAAGAGTGCGACGATTGCACAAGCGTGTGACTGCCTGAGAAAGGTTCGTAAACGAAATGATGGCGCAACAATGCACAGCGGATGGGTTGGGACGCCGCGAATTTTATTCCTTCGCGGATGCATGGCTGCCAGTCGTGTAGTACTTGTTAAAGTGCCGGCCGGGATCGATGCTTGTGGTACCTGTATAGCGCTCTGGGAACTGCACGGCTGAAGCCTCCCCGCCATAGCAGCGCTGGTTGCTGCCATAATACCTCGCCCAAGTGCAGGCGGCAGGCCTCAGCTTTCACCGACTAGAACAAGGACAGTAGCAATACATTGGGAGTGGCTGTGTCATTCTGCTATTTCTGTATGAAGTTGCAGTTCAGCCCCTTGGCAACCCAACAAAACCCTGCCACAACGCGAAGCCCACCGCAACGCTCGATGTCACACCAATCATTGCAAAACCCGCCAGCCACGTACAACTACATGTGCTTCCCTTCCTACCATCACTTGCGTGCCTGTGTCTCACACGGCCACGGCTCTGCCGCCGTGCGCTTGTCTTCCTCTACTCCTACGCGGCGCTGCTCTCGCACGAGAGCGATTTCCTCATCGCTCAAGAAAAGCACATGCTGCGCCAGAGATAACATGGTGCGGGTGGCGGATACTCGTCGAGCAGCTGGACACCGAATACATCTGCCCCGCATCGACCAGCGATTTGTCCACGGGGAGCTGCGTCTCTGAGTCGTCTGAACGAGATCTGCGCCCCGGCACGGACGCCGATGCGCGGATAGATGGCTCGCTGGGATCGGTACCGCGCCTGTTTCCACGATCACTTTGCTTGGCTGGCCAAGCAACATTATTCATGGCCATTGTCCTGACTGCCATGCAGGTCGGGCTGGCGACCGAGTCCCTCGGCCACAATCAGGCGTTTCGATCTGCGTCGTACGGCTTCACGGGGTTTTCTGTTCTGAGGGGCCTCATTGCCGGCCCAGTTATTGTCCTTCAATTCTGTGCCACCTTTCTATGGAACTGGATGAAGGCTCTCCATCGGAAGGGAACACCTTACTCTGGTGTGCGCTCCGTATAAACGTCAACGAAAGTAAGATTACATGACGAAGTCGAAAACCGAAGGATGAATGAACGTCGGCAATTTGATCGCGCAGCTAGCCTGGTCATCACGGGCGAACCTGTCAAGAATTTTGCGAACACGCGACATGTCCGAAGCATCTTTGCCGACAAAGCGATGCACCGAATTATGCACGCGTTCACCATCATGGACGCCGTTATCATGGGCTGCTCACAACGGGCACGAGGCTATTGCTAGCTGCTGCTTGAGGCGGGCGCTAAAGCCGCCTCCCCGCCTACCCCCACCACGATCGCATTTACATAGGTGGAAAGTGGCAAAGAGCACTGGCATAATGTACACTCACGGGCAAGACTACCAAAAATTCGAGCCCATACAGCGCCTGTAAGGCGATAGAGATGCCAGACTCAATGGCGTTGTTGCTAACCGCTGGGCCTATCGCCGCGAGGCACGTGGGTGGTGATGCCTCACTTGGGCAAAGGATGCCCGTTTGCTCGAAGTAGTATATGGCAGCCAGTCGTTTGGTCCAGTCGTATGGTGTAACCTCGCCACATGGAGAAACGCCTGCCCGGCGGCAGGTGTGCATGACGGCAGGCGAGATAAGGATTTCTTCTGCACTAGTCACACGCGCCAGCTGCACACACTGGGGGAGCATCAAGTAGCTCATACTGTCAGAGTTATACAACAGAATTCTGTGCCAGAGCATCAAAGGACACTCTTCTTGTGCATGCGTGTACATTGCAACCGCTTCAGGTGAAGGTACAAGACAGGGGAGCTGGCACCTCCAGAGAATACATTAGTCGCACACGCCAGCCGCCCGTGGTGCGCGTCTTGGCAGCCAGGGTAGCGTTCGCCTGAAATGGGATGAAGGCCACACGCCCGTGCATGCTCGGTTGGGGTATGGCCAGAACTTCATTGTGTTTGACGCACTCACCACTTGTCACAACACTCCGAGTCGATAATTCAATACTGTATCTCTGGCGCTAAATATCTTTAGATGATGCCGGGTGGCAAATTGCTAGAGTAGCACGTGTTCACGTAGCCTTTGAAGAAGGGGACCGTAGAAAGTGGTAGAGAGCTAACGGACTGGAAAGCGCGTGAGGCTCCTAGAGCGAGTGCGAGAACTAACGAGGGAGTTCGTTGTATCTCATGCATCCGGAAACATAGACCAATCATGACGACTGGTCAAGCGATGCAGATAGCTTTCAAGGCCAGCAGGATTCTGGCACTGATTAGTCTCAATATGCATCTCCCGCGCCGGCGAGCAGTCGGAGACGTGCAGGGCCCCGTGCAATTTGCCCCCAGCTGTCAGACATCGGACGAAGACGAGCCTACGGACCCTATAATGTCGAGTGGAAAATGTCTATAATCGTCGGCGGTGGGCAAGCGAATTAGTAGCCGGTATTGAGATCCGATTCTACCAAAGGACGCGGTCACTTCAATCGATTGCTCCAGCCGCGAAGTTCACAGCGGGGCTATGGACAGGGAGTCTGCTGATGTTAGTGAAGCCCGCGACGGGGAACCGAGATCCTTGCATTTCGCCATTGCCGGGTGTTTGCTTCCCATTCCACAGCAGCAATGGTCGTCCCGCCTTCAGGCATTCCTTGTATTCATCAGAAGACACGTGTGTGTTCGTGTAAAGAAGAGGCTTGCTTGACTCACATGAGGCTGAGTCAGGGGTGCTACATACGAACGACGCGGGGTACAGCGGCCGGCCTGTAAGCTACTTTGATTGGTTTACTGGCGGGCAAGAATACTCAACATGGTAAAATGAATGTAAATGAGCATCATTCTACTCTGAAAGACTGTAGGAATTAAACTTCTTTCGCACCAAGCCAACTTTAGAGCACTATTGATAACTCATATGGTCTAGTTTAGACCGTGAACATGTCTTTCTGATTACTCACAAGCAAGAGCGCCATCCTCCGACTAAAGTTATTCGATTAGTGAATATCAACATCGCCAAAGTCCCTCAAAAGATCCTCAAGCTGTAAATCTGCTCGCTTAGCCTCGCTGTCATTGCCGCCAGCAACGGGTAGCAAGCCTGTCACAGCTACAGTACGATGCAACACGCCAGCTTCGTTATGACGCACCCGATGAAAATACTTCACCATGTACATTGGCACCGCCAGCCTATACAGCCTAAACGCAGCACGGATACCGCTCAGAGTATCGGCCGCCGGCGGTAACGTCGGATGCATCTCAAAGAGGCACTGACAAGCACGGACCAGCGAGTCCATTTGCACAGGCGCGTCTGGCTCTTGCAGCAGGACGTAGGCAGCAGCTCCCAGAGCGTAAGTGAGGTAGTACTCGTAGCGGACTTGGCCATGGGCGCGAAATGACCAGACCGTCGACACCAGATGGCCGGCATGTGCGGCACATCGCTCCCGAGGGCCGAATCGGCCAAATTCTTGTTTTGTCATGTGAGTAAAAGGACGTAGGAGAGTCATGCTCACCGTCTCCAGGTGGATGCTATTCAGTTCTCAGTCATTGTGCGTCTCTGTAGTACTTTGGGGCGGTCGACTTACTGCAAAGCAATGACGGACGGCAGCACAGACTGCTCAAATCGCAATTCATCGGGAAGCCCGTATTTCCAATTGAGCAAAGCGTCGTAGAGCTTCAATGCATAGCCCGGCTTGGATACAGCGTCGGTGCCGTTCTGGTCGGGATGTAGATAGTTTAGTATCAATTCGACAATCTCCGAAAGCGCAGCATCTGCCTCCCTGATAGCCACCTGCATTGATGGCTGCATCTGAAGGCTCAGCGGGTAAGGATACCAACAGTATCCTGCGGAATCAGTCTGTCGAAGTGTGAAACTGCTCTCACGCCACACTTTCTCAATCTTTGGCGGGCGGGTCAACTTTCGAATACCAAGCGCCTCAGTAGATCGCCTAGCCAATGTCAACACATGAGCATCATCATGAGCTCGGGCTCAAAAGTCCACTCACCATTCAGTGCAATACATTCCCCACATACACCAAGAAGTAGCTTCTCGCTCCAGCCTCCGTCGAGGCTCGGGCACCGTCTGGTCAGTAAGCTCGTCCATGTTCCTATCGTTGAGAATTCTATAGACATCCATGCATCGCGCCAAGTCTTGCAGCGTTCTTGCGCCAGTACCAAGACTAGCCTCATAGATGAGCAAAGAGTATAGGCCTTGCATAAGAGCAATGGATGGCCGGGGGCAATTTTGCAGGTGAAGCTCAGCTTCCTCCGCCCACAGCCTCCCCCTTGTTTTGGGATCCGCAGGGTCTTTGTATGTTGCTGGGTCCATCGAGTAGAGCTGAACGCATTAGAGCAAATCAACTTGCAGGTTGTGTTTTGACTTACGCAGCTCAAGGCTAGTAGGCAACTGACCAGAAATGGAGAGCAAAAGTCGCTGTCGGTATTGTCGTCATAGTCACCTTGATTCCCTCTTCTGATCCTTCTAACATCCTCTTCGAAGATTGGTCGATAGATGATACGCTCCACAATATTGTCCCAGGTGAAGAACAAGTTGAGCAAATGATTCATGCGGCGATCATCAGTAGATACCCTGGTCCAGTTGGACAATGGCAAATCATGACCTGATACATCCACAAAGAGGCTTGGATCTACCCGTCGGTAGTAAGCATCAGTGTCGTAGCGTTTCTCAAATATAAAGTCCCAGTCTTCGTATCTAACAATACGTCAGCAGTGGATCCAGCATCGTACTATGGGCATCACTCACGGGGACGTCAACAGTGGACGGGAAGCAGAAGCAGGATATTGTCCCAAAGGCGGCCCAGTGGCTGCAAACGCTCGAGAAGAGGATTGCAGCAAGAGGCTTGCACCGGCTATATCACCAACGGCAGTGTCAACGCTTTCAGCTTCTCTAATTCTCTGCGCAATTTGTTCAGCGTGCACGCTGTCTCCGCGGCGTATCAGGTCAACCACGCTCGCATAGTTTTCTGTGCGTTCCCTTTTGAGCTGCTGAGATGTGACACCAGGCGGAGCAGTGTAAACACAGGACCAGTTTCTTCTGGCACATTGGCGGCACTGTGGCCGGGCGCTATCACACTATACTCTTTGACATCAGCACTGGTCTCTCGTGCTCGACTGTACGCTCATCGAAAATGATTCAAGCCCGCCTGCTTTCCTTGACTGGCGAGCGCGCTGACTCTTACCTTGGTTTTTCGTGTCCTACAGCCTGAGGTTTCGAGTTAGTTTGCAGTAACAATCCATAGCGTGAGGCTACATACTGTTGCAAGCATTGCTTACTAGCCGGCGTCTGCGGGGTGGCGGTGCCTCTGGTCGTCGCTCTTCTTCACCCGGTGGTCTGGGCAAAAGTCTTGGTAGTGAGCCTCGAGCTTGAGACATTTTTTGTGAGCTTCAAGAGCTTCAAGAGAGGAGGGCATCCTGGATTGAAGTGGTGAGGGATGGCAGTCTACTTATACAACGGCAGAAAGCAAGCGTTACGTAAGTTGTGGCTTGGTTTTGCACAGATTGAGAAGGAAAAAGCATCATTTTTCACTTTTGACAGCAATTATTATACAGTTTTGGAGGTTTTTGAGAAGGAAACGCTGTGGCATGGCCAATTGGGCGGCTCGGAGAGAGCTCCGGACTGCAATATCCACACGCTGGGTCATCACTTTGAGGGCTTGATGTCTCACTCATGCCTTACACATTAGAACCCTCTTTGTGTGATATGTACCGAACGGAAAGTTCCACAACTTCAGGATCAGCATATTTATTGTCAATAAAGTGCTGAACAAAGCATCCACATCCGGGCAATGGCTAGTGCGGGCAGTGTCTGCGGGATCGACATCGCAGTTTATCAGTAATGCCCTGATCTTGAGTTTTCCGAGTACTGAGGACTGGTGACCTAAGGTACATTTTGTTAGCGTTTTTAGTAGATCAATTACTAACGTACTATTCTACTCTATGTCTACCTAGTAAGCCACTAGATAATAACCCTTCTATTATAATACTATTAATTTAGCTATTTTACTTTCTAAAACATGGGACTCATGCTTCACCGAAAAAGGGTTCCCGCAAGTGCGGGGTACACTAATCTTACGGCGGGTATGTCGTCATGCACCGCCAACACAGCAGCGCAACGGGCCGTCACACGTTTCCACTGTAATAGTGGCATGTCTTTCTTCTCCGCTCCACAGATAATGCCCCGCAAACTTCATCCGACATGATCATATCACAGCTTTTTGGCTCGCAGATTATGTCCAGACGTCGGCAAGTTAAAACCGCGTGCCAGCGCTGCCGCCAGAAACGAGAAAAGGTGCGTCCTCTCATCCCGCCTTGCTTACGCGCAAACAGACGCCCCGCCCGCCACCAGCTCCCTTTTCTGCGAATATTGTCCTACCATTGCAATTGATGCCATCTCATATTTGTATGTATGACGCTGACACCTGATTTCCCGCTCAGTGCAACGGAGAACAGCCCTGCAACCGATGCGAGCGACAGGGCGAAATCTGCGAGTACAAGCGCTGCGAAAGGGTATCAAAGAGCGAACTGCGCGCTGAGATTGGAAGACTGAGGCAGCGTCTGGAAGATGCCAAGTCGCAGCGGGCTCAGGGCAGCAGCATCACGACGAACGATAGCGCCGCGCTGCAGGGCTGTTTCGATGCCGTCAAATGGTCTAATTTGGACAAGGGTCCTTTTGTGCTGCCGGGAGGGGATCGAGCCGCATTCTTGTCTGGTTCGATGTCGGAAGGGATCCCGCTGACAGCTTCGTCCTGCTTTGACCAGCTGCTCTCCTGGCGATCTTGCCATCCTACGTTCCAGCAGAGTAACGCGTCGACGTCATCTTCATGGCCACCCTCATATCGTGAGCTGTCACTTCCATTGGCACCGCTTGATGCATATGCGACGCTGGCGCAGACAGACAGGTGGACGCAGGTAGGGTGGACTTGCGCACACATCCGGCACTTGTTCGACGTCGTTTTCACTTGGGACAGTGTCTCTTTTTATATTCTGCGCAAGAACGAGTTTCTGCAAGACTATGATGCCGGTTCTTCCCGCTTTTGCTCGTCAGCTTTGGTACACGCATTGTTGGCGCTCTCTACGAGGCTGGCCAACGAGAGAGAGGATGACTCCTACCATTTGCCCTCTGGCTGGCTCGGAAGCAAGTATTTTCTGCGCAAGGCCAAAGCTCTGCTTCTAGAGCAAGGATCGGGCCAGAGCTTGCCGGACATTCAGTCTCTGGGTATACTGGCCCTTTATCACATTCGATGTGGCCCCGAGAACGAAGCAAGAGAGCTGGCCGAATTGTGCACCGCGGGCATCCGCTCATTGTGCCTTAGAGAGTGCGATGCAAGTGAATTGGATGAGCTATATGTCAAGGTTCGAGTGACAACGTACGATGGCGCAATATCGCTTCTTAGGTGTGTTTCAGGGATTCGCCTCTGCTACTTCATGGCATTCAACCATGACTAATCTACATGCTAGGATGTTTGATCTGACCACTGGGGTGCTGTTCAACGAAGCTGGAAGCACTTTGAAAGATTCCTTGATACTGGACCAACTCCTATGCAATGACGCAGGAGCAGGTACAATGCGTCCAGGTAAGCCGGTGCTGCATTTGGAGAAACCAATAGAAGCCAACGTTTTTCTTTTCAGATCTTTCTACTGCGATAAACTTCCAGCCTGAAAACCCCCACGATCTCATTGCCAAACTGTTTCAGCTCACAGAAATGGTGTACAAGGTCATCGTTGCGAAACGAAGAGCCTCTCCATCGATAAAACGGTACATCATTGCAACATACCAGAAATGTCTCGAGTGGTACCGCGAGATATTCGAGCTCGTTGGAAACGGCAGCAGCCGGAGTCCATTTATTCTCTTTATTCAGTAAGCTGCCATTATCGTGACTTAATTGAGCATGCTAACGACGTCGCGTAGCATGTACTACCATTTTTGTATTCTCTGCACCTTTCGACCAATTGTCGGTTTCGACTTTGCCTCTTCTGAGGTCCAGCCTCACGAGGTGTGTGTGCAAGCCGTACAGTCTATCCTTACCCTTGCCCAGTCCTATGACGATCTCTTTACACTACAGCGCGTGCCAGCTTTGGTTCCGTACTTTGTATGCGCTTCTGGACTCTTTGGCCTCGCTATCGAAGATAGCAAAGAAGACATGGACTTTGTACAACTGCGTCCCATGGCAGCAATCAGTCCGCAGCAACCCCATCCACCAAACTTGCAAGTAGCCGGCTTCTTTCCTCCCGAGACGACAGCACCGTTAGAGATAAAAGTTTCGACGGTGGTCCAGGCCCGGCTTTTGCTGTCAAGAATGGGCGCAAGTCATCCTGCGGCGGCAATAGCCAAAAAGAAACTCAACCAAAGTCTAACAGCTTGGCGGCGGCGGTCAGGAGGAGCTGGGTCTGACTGAACGCAGAGTTCATCGATGCGACGGCTTATTGCACATCCACCGCTGAAGATTTATGATCTTCAGCGTGTATAAAATTTACCCACATGCAAAGCATTCGGTCGGAACTAGTCGAAAATGATGACATTATATAATACAAGTACAAGCAGCTGGGCAACTTCTCGGCGGCTGCTCTCTGTGCGGCTTTCTTCTGCTGCCATCCTCTGCGTTTCTTTTCACGGCGCTCCGCCTGCCTCCTGCTTGCATTTCGGATGGCCACACAAAATTGCCTCATCACGTTTCGCAGCAATCTCTCGGCGAGCCAAGTGCTCGCCGTCAAAGTGGTCGTTAAGTACCGGCGGACGGCACCATTTAGATTTTCGCGCCTCAACTGACAGCTGCTCGTCACCAATGCAGCCTGGACACTGCGTGACCTCCATAAGAAGCGGGAAGAGATCTGGCTCGAAATCTAGTTCCGACGGTGCGTCACTTTCCGGCGACTCTTGCTTGATGGAAGCCTCGACCCTGGCTGGCCGTTGCCCGCGTCTAGTTCTGCCTGTTTCCTTCTTATCGCATAGAGCCACCACAGCTCCTAAGAATGCATACTGAGGCATCTTTCAACTGAATTGTGACGATATTTTGGCCCCCGAAGCATGCAGTGACCTGCAATCAGAATCCCAAAGTGCAACGAGTTGGTCCACTACATGCTCCCGTAGATCGTCCCAGTACCGCCCCGCCAGTGGAGGCGATGCCGCCCAGCGCCCCTGCCGCTGCGCTCTGCAGCGTGGCGAAAACACGGTCATCAACTGCAGCCGCTGCGGAACCCAGGCCCTCCGTTGTTTTGCGGAATGGGACATACTCATCCGATGTATTGGCCTTTATCTACAGCGACACCGCTTATCCTTGATCCTCTCTCCGGAGCGCGAGCAGATCTCCACTGCCGATGCTGGAATTTGACAGTCTTTTCGAATATTATTGGCTAGATTGATGGACGACGCCAACAGCGCCTGATTCACTTGCCCGGAAAAGCAGCAGCCGAGACAAAGGTTTAGACGATGTCTGATAGTCAACGTTTGTTCTAGGAGTTCCGTGGTAGAAACAGGCACGCTTCAGCTCGACATCTCAGTCACTGTGTCTACCAACACTTGCACTCCCACTCGTCATAGAACATATCGCGTCTTTTTTTGCATGTCCTTACTGAATTTTTGATGTGATACTTTCTTTCTCGCCAAATTCAGGTCGCAGATTTTCCCACCACTTGTAAACCAACATACATCATTCCTACCGCAGCCGAATCTACAATGTCCTACCAACGCAAGCCGTGGTCCAATTCTGACTTTGTTCAATCCCAAAAGTCCCACGACTGGATCGAAATTGCTCAGAAACTAGGTTCAAGAACAGCAAAGTAATGTCGCGAGCGCTACCACCAGAATCTGGAGCCGCCCTTGAACCACAAGCCTTTACACCTGAAGAAGGGGCTCAAATCGAACATGTCGTGCTGGAGATCGGCAAACGCTGGACCAAGATTGCACGCAAGCTACATGGTCGCAGCGCTAACTCTGTCAAAAATTGGTGGTATGAAAGGCATAGTCTCCGCATACAACCCGTCACCAAAAGAAGAATCCTGTTAGGGAGGAGTATTGCAGCCGAACCGGCACAAGAGAAGACATAATACGGGCATTACCACCACTAAATACGACGCCGATTCACCGCCGGCCAGCGTTTTGGCTCCCCTGCTCGCTTAAGTCTCCAGACTACGAAGCTTATCCAAGCACAGCATTACCATACAAAACTGCTGTCATTCAACATCAAGGTATCGAAATAACATCGCCACGAGCGTCGCCCGGACGCTTTTTGTCTAGCACTGATACAACGCGCAGCGTGAATTCTTCGGTGCAGCATCCAGGTTTGCCCACTATACCAAGCTGCCCAGTGCACCAGCAAAGTTCCGACAGCATGAGCAAGGAGCAGATGAAGCTGTCTTTCATACTGGGCTGAGCTGCAAGTTGAAAATACCCTTGCTGCATAAATGTACAATTGATAGAGGAAAATCGAATTCATATCTGTACTTGTACGCTTGTCATGCATCTGAAATGTAGCTATCCGGGTCGGTCACAGGTGAACTGACGCTTGCAAATATTTATTGGAATTGGAGATGATATTAAATTCACATGAGAGCCGCTATTGCTGACCTGGGGCCGCACACCAACCAGCCGCACGCGTAGCAGGATTTCCACTCCTTTCAGCAAGCCCTGCCTCAGCTGCACACTAAACGGCAGCAAGCAACTACCAACCAATTCGCTCAGCGAACCCTGTTAAACATCGGCTTATTTTGGTAACGTTTCATTCTCCATGAAATCTTTTGGTGTTCGCCTAATTGGCAGAGGATATATCTCATCCTACACATTCGGTTCAATACTTTTGTTATACGGAATTCCCATGGACAGAACAAACCATGTCGATACGGGTTGGAAAGCAATTGTCGTTCGTGGAGCAGTAGTCATAGTGCCGATGTTGTCGGCGCACTAAGACATAAAAGTCGGCC